CAAAAGATGAGCCTTGGGGCAGACGCTCATCGAACTACAAGCACAGGAGTAGGGGCGAATTTCTGCTATAGGACATAGCGTTGTGCTAGCCTCAATATGAAATTCAAGTCAGTATCGTTTATGTTAATTTTGTTGTCTATATCTTGCTGTGATATTATTCTGTTTTGTGAGTTCGTTGTGTTTTTAGTTCTGTCTTGTTCTTATTGTTTACAACATGTTGATGGTCTTCTTTGTTGTTTTGTACGATCATGTCAACAATGCTCACTTTTCCTCCATTCTCCTTGCTTGGGATTGCTTCTTTGCATTTCTTCAGTATTTTCACGCACTCTTCATCACTCTAGTTGGGCAATATCCACTGTTTTTTGTTAGCATGGAAAAATTTGTTATAATGAGAAACAGTTAAATATATCAAGAAAATCCATACCTTGAGCATAACTGCATCTGCTTGAGGAATGGATTCAAACATATTTCCCTCGGTGTAGGGCAAGTTTTTACGACCTTCCAAGCCTGCAACAACGTGCGGAAGATCGAACACAGTGCACTGCAATTGCGGGAAAGCAGCAATAGCTTTGGCCATAAATCCCCTGCCTCCTCCAACATCCACCATAGACTTCATCTTATCAAAGACATTTTTGCAATCTCTAATAACTATTCTACTCAATAACTCTGGGTCGTTAACCATTTGTTCATTGAAAGAATGATTGAGCTTCGGGTCGTCACTAGCACAGTCCCAAAATGTGCTTCCATAGGCTGTCTTGAATGCAGAGGGTTCGTCATTTTGAAACCATTCAGTAATATAATGCCATGGCTTTTTGTAAATAGGATTGAAACAGGCCTGTAAAAATGGTATCATACTCAAGGCCTGGTCTTTGATGAGGAGACGAGAAGCCGGTGTAATAAAATTAATTCTACAGTAAATATGCTGGCAATAATTAATTAAATTGTTTTTAATTTGTAAGTGAAGAAGAGACTACAATTCAAACATTTACACTCCAAGTTAGGGATAAAAATAATTTGATTTTTTTTTTAAATTTCAAGTAATAAAATTAATTCTATCTTATTTTAGATTCATGTAAAATAATGACATATCCAACATAATTAATAAATACAACAAATATTTTTGTTTTTAACTTAACACGCGTGTGAATTAATCTCGTGGGAAATAACGTTGGATCCCATTAAATGATTATGTTTGTTGGTAATTACTATGTCATGTCATAGGTATTTAGCATAAGCTAGCTAAGTACCGGTGCTTAGGAGATCAATCCTCACATTATATATTTTACTTTATTTTTTCAATGGTTGGTGTTGTGTTAATAAAAATATTAAGGGGATGAAAAATAGAAAATTGATAGTTTGCCACCCAATTTGAAAAATTAAAAAATCCATAAAAGATTCCCTTTGCCGACCACACGTGATGTTCACTGCGAGGGACATATAAAAGATACGGGTCTTTTTGCCATCCTTAAAAACTGTTTCCTCAATACTAGAACCAGCGCCAGACGATAAACACCATGAACTCTTGATTTGTTGATGGGGAGTGCATCGACTAGCTGTTGGAGTGTCTACCATGTTTGTGGAGGATATCCGATATGCCTAGTTGAGTTACACAAATTTAGAGAGGCCATATATATTGAGTTGAATCCATGGCACCAAAATATAACTTGAGCTTGTAGAAGCTCATCCGATTGTTCTCCAATAGGGAATGCCATTTCTAGAACTTCTAGAACTTTTACTAGTACTTATCATAATATATGAATTAGCATTGAGTTATACATAGGAATAAAATCATATAAATATGTAAATTAAACAGACATGCAATCTACAATGAAATCAGCTTTTTTGTTTTGCTAAATCGGTATATTTGCTAAATCTGTAGTCATTTTCAAACCATTATTTGGTGATCATATATTGTATTAATTTTGATTAAGTACAGAAAATTTTCAATTTTATCTCACGACTATCTTGTTTAATCTATCTACTTGGATTGTTTAAAACACTTGATAACGAAAACATTACAATATTCAGTTAAAGAAAAATCCTATTTAATTTGTTAGAGCATCTCCAATATAAGAAACTGGTATAATGAGGAAAAGGCCTTAACAGTGTTATCAAGAAAAAATAGATGATAAACAAAGTAATAATTATTGAATTTAGCAATTTGAAAAATTGAGTCCACTTTTTGAATAAGTATATTGTTAAGGGTGCTTAGAAGTTTACAGTACTAACATCTATATCGACAGTGTTAGGGTTTGTCACTACCATGTCGCCTATGTACAAGACTTCCAATTTGTTCCAATTAGTGAGAACTATGACGTTGGCATGATGCGCAACAATATTTCCTAAATAGAAATGAAAAGTACTTTATTCTCAATTAAATTAACTGTAGGTGTTTAACAAGCAAAAATGTTAAATCATTTATCAACACGTCAACTAATACTTATGAAAATGTTGAGATTTATGACCACTATTATTAACAAGACAGACATTCTTGTTTGTATAATCTAAAAATTTCGTTCATAATTTAAAATTTGAGTAGTAATTTCACAAACTTCAGGTTGCGAACACCATACAATCATCTAGTATATGTATCAAATATGTTAGATATAAATAATATTTAGATGGTCAACTTAGAGCATGATGGGGCCCCATTTAGCATCCTAATTAATTTTTAGAAATATAGAGGATTCCGTGTCTATTTTAACTAATGATGTTTAATGTGTAGGATAAAATAATTGGAGAATCAAAGTAATCAATCAAACCAAAGGCCCGTGTTTACACGGTTTCCTTAAATCGAATTTGCCGCCTCACCGGGGTGCACGAGNAAATCGAATTCGCCGCCTCACCGGAGTGCACGAGGTTTTTGTTCGGTGTTCGATTCCCAGGATACAATCGGTTATCAGTCCACGTTGCACTACGTTACCGACCTACGAACTTTCTGTGTCTATCTCTCGAAGGAATAAGCAAAGGAAAATAAAACCAGGCTGCCGATAAAAGAAAATGAGGAAATTGTTGTTTAGTTTTATTTTTCCTTTGGTCGTGTTTGTTGTCTAAATTACTTGTCCTTCTTCCACTAAGAAGTCTTCTATTTATACCCATAGATGAGGGGGTGGCCATAAATGCAATTGACATTGAAGATGAAGAGGAACGGCTGAAACTGAAATGCAAGAAATGAATTGCTAAACTGTTGATTTCCATTCAAACGAAACTAATTTCATTCAATATGAAATTATTTTCCAAC